CAAGATAAAAATCTCCTCTCAAAATTTTCTTTAACAAATTCTCTGATAATTTCCCAAAAAGAATACAAACTGTTGTGGTAGTTTTCAATCACAAAAGTCTCTGTATAGAAGAAGCCAGATGCATGCAACAGCTAAACTGTTACATAGTCCTAAACGCAATATGATCATAACAAAAGAAAGGTTTCACACAGCCACTTATCAATTCTGAGTAATACCCAAACATCTGATGTGAACTGTTGTGCTAAAAAGTGTTATAGTCTTTAGAACTACTATACAGACCAGTTAATTTTTCTCTAGAAGTCTACACACAACACTATAGAAATGACTTATCTTTGGTATTTACAGTACTTTTTCTTTATATCTTAGGCTTCATGATTTCATCCCAAATCTACTAATTATACTAACGGTACCTCCTGAAACTTTAACGTGACTTTTTATTGTGAGGCCGTTTAAGGTATGCATACATGCTTTTTTGTAATATTTTTTCCTGTAACTTTGTGAACCTTCCCTACCACTACTAACGTCCTCGTATTGGCAAACATAAACCCTTAGACTTGTGCCAGCCAGTTAGCACTCACATCTTACAAAATAGGAGTTATTTGGAAAACAGAATCCTGCTGTACTATTCTGCCTTATACCAAATCACATAGAACACCTCTACTGTAATTGGGGAGGTGATAATCCAACCACATCCTCTTTATATTCAAGACACTTTACAATTATTCAAGATTAAGAGTTTTACAGATAGTTCACTTTAAAATGTTTGTAAATCCCGCAAACTTTTAAAAATAATGGTTACTGAAAGTACCAACAAAATAATTGCAAGAAGGATGAAATTTTGCCCACTTCAGCCCATCAGCATAAAGTAGTCCTTTCACATCTAACACTTTTTTCTTTAGTATGATTATGAACAACTAAAGCCCTGTTTTACACTTTCAAGAAAAGCTTACTATCAATATTTCACTGATGCTCTCCTAAAGAAATTCTAACTCTACCACACGCTTTTACTTCATTATGTGCTACCACCCCACCAGAAATTACACAAAGTTTTGAAAGCACCATATTATCTTTCATATAGAATGGGAATATGAAAGCATTTAATATATTAAATGATTCAAAAGCATTTAATATATTTACCTATTTTTCCCTAAACTTGCTTAGCTCTCCCATAATACCTTAACTTTCCTATTAATCAGCATGCTCTAAATAAATGGTTATTTATATGATATATATTTGAGTAGATCCTATTTACGGTTCTTATTCATTTCTGAATTTAAGACCACCTCTAATTTGTAAAAACTAGGACTTAAACAATGGTGGAAATACATACTAATTAGCGTAAAGGGATAGTCTGATGTAGTTTCAAAATCTTCACCTTTGCAAAGAGATGATTCTATCAATATAACTTAAGAATAGCACTATTCCATTTTTAACCTGCATGATTTCTCTAGATGTACTACTTTTCTGTGTTTTGGATAACCTAACTCCAAAATTAAAGAGTTGACTTCTTGGAAACAATGTACTGATATTTCTGGTTCAAATTTAGATTTTCCGGATAGAAAACTTCATTTCGACTCATTTTACAGGAGAGATAACTAGGTCCAGAGAAACCCCAAGATGTGCACCCATGGTAACCTGCAGACTAACTGTTGGTGGGGTGAAGACCACAATCTATACCTTCTGTCGATCCTTCACTTGAATGAAAAGATTTCTAATAAAATGGAATCACTATAAGAAAAGCTACTATCACCACACAAAATTATTTTATTATTTTAACAGACTGGCAAAACATAAACCCACTTTTGGGGAAAAATGCCTTATAACCAAGAAATGTCAGTCCCAAATCTGAGAAAAATGCTTTAATACTCTCTCAGGATCTCATAAATATACAATCACCACTAATTAAGATAACTAAAAGGATAATTTACTAACCTAATTAACTTTACTATTCCAACTAAGAAACAAATAAATGACCAAGTTTTCTCTTTGTCCAAAATTAGTTGAATTTTCTTTGCTACAAAAAAGGTTGCCACCTAAGCCTGTTTGTTTTTAAAAATAAGAAATCTGAAAAAAGCTTTAAAAAGTGTCCTTTACAGTTTTGACACCAACTTCGTATTTAAAAATACATAAAATCTGATTAAACATTCACCATACAGCGGAAACAAAACCCCTTCAACTTCCTAGCGAATTCCATTCACTGTTAAAAATGCTTTATCTTTTTTTGTTAATGTTAAAAATGCTTTACATCTTATAGCAGAGGTTAATAATCACAATCACACTTTACAGTAACTTTATTAATCACACCCGAAGTTAGTGAATCAATTTTATTATTTTTTAAATCTGTAAACTTTAAAAACTGCTCTTCAAACTCCACTTTCCTCTTGGTCAAAACGCAATCACTGTGATTTGATTATCAGTAAGCTGGCTAAAGATACTGACCAATACCTATTTTTAAGCTCACAGATATAAATATTATGCCCCATCCTAAATATCTGCAATTTGAGGTTGCGTGGAAATTTCAAATATATATGAACTTTTATTGTTAAAATATTACTCAATTTTATAAGCTAACATCGCAATAAATTTCCAGGTAGGAGAACTTACTGAAACCACCAATAGTAGTTATTATTTTGGTTTTACGCACCAAAATAATCTTCAGGCCAATGTTAAATTAGCTCAACTGATAGGCAACAAAACATTTTTTTCCAAGTCATAAGAATACATTAAAATAATAATGTACAAGACTTTACTTATGTTAACCTAGACATAGGTTAACATAATTTCAAGGTCCTCCAGCACGAAAAACAAAAATGCTAGATACCTAGTGTTCCAAAATGTTTTTAGATCTAACTAAATTAAATTTCAATTTAAAAGTCAAGTAAAGTTAAACCAAATATCCATACATGGTGATGATATAGTGAAGAATATGCTGAATGAATTAAAAAAAGAAAATGAGCCAGAACTCTGAATTGTCCTAAGAACTCCTGTCTTATGAGCACACCAACAAGACTGTTAGGGTAAAAATGTGAAGACACTGTAAGCAAGAAAACCACTTCCATTTAAAGTAGATGGATTTTGTTAAAATAATGCACTAATGAAGACACTGCTTATTGTAGCCTGTATCTGACAAGTTAGAAATATAATCCATTTTATTAATATTTGAGCAATGAGAATCCTCTCTCACAAAATCAAAGTCAACACTGTTACCAGTTTTTACTGGGGAAAACAAAATTATATTAGGATTAGACTTTCATTTATTTAGCCAGACACCATTAGCTGCTTCACTTTAAAAATATAACATTACCAATCAATAGTCTCCAAGTTAAGAAAACATAGCAATCTTCAGCAACTTGGGCTTTTATTTTCCTTCAAGAAGTTCTGTTAAATCTAATTCTTAAAAAATGGAGTATTATCATCTTTTTAGGTTTTTCAAATAACAGTGAAGTCTACTTATGATTTTATCAAATATTTACAAACCTAACAATTTAAAAACTGCAGTTACTGACTGTGGACGTTGTTTTAGACTTACTTCATTTTAGCAAAATATTGAATTAAACTGTTCTACAGTCACTCTTTGAAAAGTAAAGTGTGTAAATGAACAGTTAAGTATCCATTAAATAGACTAAACCTAAGGACCAGTGCTTGTTTCAACAGCTGTGAGCCCTTATCAACAACCTGTATTAGACAAGAGATTTTGTTTGATGTTTTTAAGTTCTATGTCCTATATGCAAATGAAACAAAAGCCATCAAAATAAGGTCTTGCCTTCACTTCGCAAAGGACATTCAGAAACTCTAAGACGGTAACACTAAACAATCTCAAAACATCAAATGCAAATATCTCAGAAAATCAACGTACTGCATAGATTTCAAAGGCTTGGTTTGCCCACGTGTGCTTCCTTTAAGCGCCCTACACACACATTCATTACCAACCAAAATCAGTGCCGGGAGTCTATGGAAAGCCCAGCTCCCAAATACAACCACTACCTTCCTTTTCCACACGCCAGTGATCAACCCCACTTTGAGAAGTCCATTTCCAGAAATTATTAAAATACTCTGAAAAAGCCCACAAGGTTAAGAATTTTGTAAGTCATTCACAAACCATCCCCCGCCGTAAACTTTTACTTGCCAAGTTCCATCCCGCAGTAAACAGAAGAGTAAAAAACCCGAACTCTTCAGTGGCCTCCAATGGTCGTTTTTAATTGAACAAGGGGCATCATCCCACGAAAATGAGCCAAGCCCGGAGAAAGCTCGGCGAACTCTTGATGGGGGGGGGGGTAATAGGGGGGGATGTCACAGATTTGCACCTCGGCGAGGTGGTTTTGCAAAGGCAAGACGCGCCGCCGGCCAGCTACACCATCGCACCTCTGCACCCACCACCACCACCACCACAAAAAACACCAGCTCTGAATTTAAGGACAGCAGAAGCAACGGCCAAGGAATAAAAAAACGTCTCGCCACGGCTCCGCGGCGGCTGCACAGCCTGCTGGTGAAATGCTAATGCCACTTGGAAGCAGTTAGTCACCAGCCATTGTGTGGGGCCGGAGAAAGCCGAGCCGACCGCGCGTGCAGGGAGCGAGCGAGCGAGCGAGCGAGCGGGTGAGCAGCGAGCGAGCGCGCCCTCCTCCTTCGCGCCGCTCCCGCGCGCGCCCGCGCCCGCCGCCGCCGCCGCCGCCTCGCGCGCGCGCCCGCGCCCGCACGGACGCGCGCGCCGGCCCCTCCTCCTCCGGCCTTGCACTGCACAACACTCATGACGTATCTTTATTTCTAGCACATTAACAAAATATCACAAATAAATTGCCGGCCGCCCCTGCGGCCCCGGGTGCGGGTCTCCCCGGCCACTGCCCCCCGCGGCCCCCGCGCCCCCCTCCCACCCCTCCCCGTGGCCTTGGGAGCTTTCACGTTCTGGGGCCAAGTTTTTGTCTCTCTAAAAAATTGCGGGAAATTCAATTTTTATTCGACTCGGGGAAAAGTTTCTTTGCTCCGCGACGTGAATGTCTCACCAGATTCTGGTAGGTCCTGGGATGCTCCTTCCGGTCCAGTCGGTGCGCCGGGGCAGCAGCTGCGGGGAGAGGGCACCCCGTGAGCCGCGGCCCCCGGCCCCGGCCCGCCCGCGCCCCTCCCCCGCCCGCCCCGCGCCCCGCCGGGCGCCCCGAGCCCCGCGCCCCGCGCCCCGGCGGCGGCGGCGGCGCAGCGGCAGCGGCCCAGGGGCGGCCGCGGGACGGCGGGACGCGCCGGGCCGCCGCCGCCCTTTACCTCTTTCTCGGCCACCTCGCGGATCAGCACCTGCAACAACAAAGCGGGGAGAGTGAGCCCCGCGCCCCGGGCCGCGGCCCCGCCGCCGCCGCCCTCCCCCACGCCCGCGAGCGCCGAGCGCCGGCCCGGCCCGCGCCGCGCGCCGCCGTACCTGAGCCGCCTGCTGACAGGGTCCATCTTCCAGGAACCGGGCGATGAGGAAGTAGAGCTCTGGCGGGAGAGAGGGGCGCGAGACACACGCTGAGCGGCCGGGCGGCGGGGGGCGGGGGACCGCGGGCGGCATCGCCCGGCGCCCGCGGCCCCGCAGCCCCCCGACTTACCCGATCGCAGCTCCGAGAGGCCTTTCCTCTCACAAGACATGTTTATGGGTCACTTCGGGGCCGCCGGCGGGACACCCCGCCGCCGAGGGGAAGCGGGGATGGTGCCGCCGCCTGCCCTATAGCTGTCAGTGTGTGTTCACGAGCCGAGCCTCGGCTCCACCATTCAAGCAACGGCGGCGGAGGCGGAGGAGGAGGAGGAGGAAACAACAACTCTCAGGCAGCGGCTACGGCCGCCGCCGCCTCCTCCGCCGCGGATCCCTCCGCCGCAGAAAGAAGTCCGCCGCCTTCGCGGCCCCGGGCTCGGCCGCGGCCGAGGCCCGAGGCCCTGGCCGAGGCCCGCGCCCGCGCCCCCGCCCCTCGGCGCAAAAAAAAAAAAGGGGGGAAAAAAAAAAAAAAAAAAGAGTGCCTCCGCCCCGCGTCCCCAGCACCCGGCGCGGCGAGACTCCCGCCCCCACCTCCCAGGCCGAAGGTGCGATTTATTTATTTATTTCCAGTCGGAGAAGATGTCGGAAGCGAAGCCGCCGGTTGGCTGGAAGGCGCTTTCTCTGTGGAGGCCGATCGCGGGAGGGAGGGGGCCGGGGACGACTCCGCGGAGGGATCTGACGCACACGGAGCCGCAGCACAGGCTCTATTCAGCGGCGCTGGCTGGGGCTGAGATGGAAGTTAGTTTCTATGTAGCAGAAATAGGAAACAAATGAAGCAAAACTGCCCAGAGAGGGGAAATGCCCGGAGGACGGGTCTCGCTCTCACGCGCGCACACAGGCATACACGCTGAGCTCTCGCTTACGCTGGGCAAACTCGGGATGGCGCGGCCGGCCCCGAGTTGAATGATAGTGTTTGGTTTCTGGCTCTTGCCATGTGCATGTGTATAAATGCTGCGGAGGGGCATCTGTGTAAGTCTTGTCCTGCGTGATTTCTGCAGCCTGTGCAAAGTGTTGTGTAATTTATTGGAGTGCCGTCTATTGCCAGGGAGAGGTTGGGGCGCTTTTTGTTAAGCACTTGCATGTGCAAGCCCGTTATTTGCCAGAGCCACCTCTGCATCTATCTTTTATTCCTGCCACCGCCGTAAGCTTACCTTTAAAAAATGTTTTTTATTGTTATATGGGCACAGCGAACTCCTGATCTGTACTTGAGAGACTCTTTCGTGATTACAAAAAGGCTAATGATGGCTCATTAGGGCTGTGGGATTAAAGAACCTTAGAGCTTTTTAAAGTGTTTACAAGAAGGAAGAATGTGAACCTGGAAGAAAAAGAAAGAACGCTAATATTTGTCTCTCTCTCTAACTGATCTAGAGGTAATTTACTGGCCGATCAATAACCTACCGAAGGGTATTGAAAGAGTATACTACAGTTTCGTCAAGGTGATTAGTGATTAAATAATTTTAAATTATCTGTGTATCTTGCAGTTGACTTCGTCATCCTAATTAATGGCTTCTAATTTGAGGTGTAAACCAGTCCTGTTTACAGTTAATCACGGAAAAGACTTCTTGAAAACTGACGAAAAGAGAAAAAAATTAATCTTTGGTAAATTAGTATGTAATTACCGGGTTTATATGCTAAATCATACATCTGTGTTTTGCTGATGAGGAGAAGGGCCTTGTTTTTTTTTTAAAAAAAAAAAACGAATATGGGTGAAATTAATGGAAACAATGGAAAAAGCCATTTGTTAGAAAACAAGGACATCAAGTGATATTATCTCCATTTTTAGGCACTTTGCAAAAAGACTTGAGAGTTAAATATTTTTAAGGATTGCATTTTAAAGGAAATTAGAATAGTGGTTCTTTTGTTAGCTTTTAACAAAAGATTCTCCTCTAAATTTTTACATGATAAACTGTTTTTTATGCATCTGGTCTAAAAAGGTTATTTGCAGGAAAAGAACCAACAAGCTATATTGTGGTTTTCTAGATTGTTTCCTCAAGCATTGTACCCTCCTAGCTCCTTACATTCCTTGTGGGAAATACTTGCTGCAACTGCCTTGGGCTGCACTGCAAGACTGCACTGGTGTGATATCCTATCCTAAAACCTCCAGAAATCATGGTATTTGTGAGGAAGAAAAATGCCCAACCTCTTTGGAATAATACGATGTAAAAAATGTCTTTTATAACGCCATCAAATAAAAATGAGAAGTTACCATGACTTGTTCTATTGCAGCCCACTTATCAGAGTAACTGTTATTTATTGAAATGGCTAACCTTCACATACTGAAAATATTTGAGTTTTTTTTTTTTTCAAGACATTAATTCCATACTAACTTGTAGGTTAAGTGGGGTGCTTTTATATCGGTAGATTTGAAAAGAGGCATTTTGTATGTCTTTTTGCAATTGTTTTTAAGACTTTGCTTTCTATTTTTTCTTAAAAATGTATTCTTCAAATAATTGTACTGTTTTACATTCTCAGGATATTATTCAAATGTACAGATTTTAGGAACTAAAAATTATAATTGGAATCTTACGGTTTTGAAATGTTTGTATTAATACGATTCCTGCTAATAGATGTCTTATCCTTGTGAAGGAAAATAAGCCAAGGAATGACATGGGATATAAAATTACTCTCGGTAAAGTTTTTCCATATAGATCTTGTGAGTGTTATGTAAACATGGAGAACTAGTATATGATCTCATGCATGCTTTTCATTTAGAAGCCACAAAAGCTTTTCCCTAAGTATGCTGCTAATACTTAATTCCTCCAAAAATTTGAAGGAAAATTTCCCTTCTAAGTTTTCTGAATATGATGTGCCTGTCATTTTGACTAAAATGTTTGACTTAGAAAATGTTTATGAGATCTTTTAAGAATAGTAGTAACTTAGTCTTTGGACTAAATGGATAACTTTGCCAATAAGTTGCAAGAAAATAATAGATTATCTGCTAAATGGTCTATATTTCAGCAGA